TACCCCTACGGTGCCACCCTGAGGGCCTAAACTCTCCAGCCGCCCAGGGACAGGCGCCCCCGACGGCGAAACAGTTTCTTTTCTCCCCCTCTTCGCTCGCTGGAGGAGGAGGAGGAGGAGGAGGAGGAGGCGGAGGAGGAGGAGAAGGAGGAGGAAGAGGAGGAGAAGGAAAAGGAAAAGGAGGAGAAGGAGGAGGAGGAGGACGAGGAGGTCTGAGTATACCCGACTCGCGGGGAAGGCCCCCCGTCGCCCCGCCGTGCCGGCCTGGCAGCGGCCGGCGCGGCGAGGCCGCCGCGAGCCAGCGAGGCAGCGGCCGCGGCGCCGCGGGGGGCGCCTGCGGAGTGCTCGCGCCTCGGACGCCGCGGCGCGCGCGCGAGGGGCCGTGCGAGGGGAGAGGCCGCGCACGGCCTCGGCCCGCTTCGGCTCCGGCCCCCGTCGGCTCCCTCGTGAGGTCGGGCGTGTCCTCCTACAGCGGCTGCTGGAGGAACAATCAACAAGCAGCCAAGCATCCCTCAACCCAGCGAAGAATGTATGATGCGGCGATCGTCCTTCGGCTATTTTTGTGGCTGTTTTTGAATGTGCCTCCTGCTGGTGGAAGACTACACAATCACCCAAGCATCCCTAAACGCAGCGAAGAATAGTATGCGACGATCGTCGTTCGGCTATTTTTTTTCGTTGCTATTTTTGGATATGCCTCCTGTAGGGGGACATGCCCGACTTCACTCCGTCGGCCCGTGGCGGCCTCGGCCCGTGGCGGCCTCGGCCCGCTGCGGCCCTGGCCCGTTGCCGTCGCCGGCCGAGCCGCGCGGCGCCGAGGCCGATAAAAAAGAAAGGGGAAGGGCCGAGGGAGGTCCTCCTCCTCCTCCTCCTCCTCCTCCTCCTCCTCCGCCTCCTCCTCCTCCTCCTCCTCTCCTCTCCTTCCTCCTCCTCCTCTCCTCTTCCTCCTCTTCCTCCTCCTCCTCCTCCTCCTCTTCCTCCTCTTCCTCCTCCTCCTCCTCCTCCTCCTCCTCTTCCTTCTCCTTCTCCTAGTCGGCGTGAGGGGCTCAGAAGGTCTTCCGACCGGGCCAAACTCACACACGTACCTCCGACTGGTCCAGGGCCCACAAGAAAATTTCCCGCGCCACCAGCCCGGCCCAACCCGAAGACACGAATTTGACCAGAATCTCGGGTTGGGGGGAGTACGGGGACCATGTGTTTGTTCGATGTTCCCCGATCCCCCCCCCCCCCCTCACTGGAAATGGAGGGCAGATGGACGCCTTCGGGTTGGGTTGGGGTGGTTTGGTGGGTGGTGACAGCGGGCGACGGGAGGCGGGGATGGTCGAGATCGGCGAGCGGGCAGCACCAAGAGCTGCAGCCGGACTCGATGGGAGAGCACACGCGGAGAGGACACGAGACCCTTCCGAGGGCCACGTTGCCACAGAGATGCAGGAGGCATGGGTCGCAAGACACTTTTTTTTTTTTGATTCGCCGGTCGAGAGCGCACCTCGAGCTTGAATCAACAGAGAGGGGGAGGAAAGGGGGGGAGAGCGCAGCCGGGTCGCAAGACACCGGGCACGAGGGTGCTCTTGATCTGGCAGCGTCGACCTACTGATCTGGGCCGCCACTCGCGGAGGCCTTTGGTCGTCTCCATGGCGGCCACTCACGCGCCAGTCGGGCGCAGAGCGGGCCCCATGCAGGTCCCCCGCATGGCGCTACTGGGCGCTGCTGAGCGCTGTCTGAACGCTGTTGGGCGCTATTTGGCTCCATTGATTGCCATTGGGCGCTAAGCGCCGATGTACACTCAATCCAAGACTTAGGTCGGGCCTGTCCCCCCCACATGGCGCTACTGGGCGCTCTTGAGCGCTGTTTGAACGCTACTGGGCGCTATTGGGCTCCATTGATTGCCGGTGGGCGCTAAGCGCCGATGTACACTCGATACAAGACGCGCGGGAGCTTCTGTGGTTCTTCTTAAGTCGGGCGTGTCCCCCTACAGGGGGATTTTGGGCGAAAAATGAAAAATACTCAAAACATGCTCCCACAAGGCCAAAACATACTCAAAAACAATCTCCAAATTATGTTTTAACTATTCTTGAATATTCCCCCTGTAGAAGGACACGCCGGACTTAAGGTTATTCTCTCACCAAGAGTGGCTGAGATCGGAGGACGACCGCGGCGGTGGACAAAGGGGGCGATCGGCACGAGGAGCGGTCGAGCTGGGGGAGAATCGATGCGCGAGACTTCTCGGGCCTCCCGGGCGTGCCTGGTCGTCACGGCCACGCGCAGCTCGACGGAGTGGGGAGGGCTCCGGGGATCGCTTCCGAGCTGCTTTTGGTGTGTCGCGGTGAGAACAATTGTCTGGCGGCGAGCGAGGGGGAGGAAGCGAGGAGGAGAAGGTCTTCTCAGAAGGCGGCGGGGCTTCTCAGAAGCCCTCGCGCCTTTTGAGCAGAGTCCTGTGTCTGCGGGAAGGCTGAACAGTTTCTCAGAAGGCTGGAGGACTTCCGAGCCTTCTGAGAAGGCCCGCCCCTTCGCGCTTCCCCCCCGCGCTCACCGCCGAAATGCAGTGGACGTGGCGGGGCCTGGACGTTTCCTTCGCCTCGGGCTCCCACAGCCCTCCCGGGGCCCCAGGACCGTGGGGAGGCCTCCCGAAGGGGGTCCGAGTAGATGGAGTCGGAGGATCGCGCCACATGGCTCGTGCAATGCCGATGCATCGGTGATGCATCGGCGGTGTCGGCGATGTATCGGCGCCGTCGGTGTAGAGAAAACCGGGCTGCACATCGAATATCATCGCCGATGCACCAGGTATGCGGCACGATCCTCCGATCTCACCCACTCAGACCCCACTCGGAAGGCCTCAACCGTCACGGAGCGACTCAGGATGAAAGATCTGTCCCTGGGGAAGCCCCAGGGTGCAGGACCTGCTGCCACCAAGCACCCTTTCCTTCCACATCCAGGGAAGCCGCTACTACTCCAGATTTCGTAACAAAGGGAGGGGGGTCTCATTTCGGGGGGGGTCTCTTCCAGGCCACCTTGGAGGGCCTGGGGGGGTCTGGGGACGACGTTTTGGGAGGGTTCTCCCACGAGGGGGGGTCTAAAACTTCTCGTCTGGGAGGGTTGAGACCCCCTCCCTTTTATGACGAAATCTGGAGTAGGACAGTAGGAGGAGGAGGAGGAGGAGGAGGAGGAGGAGGAGGAGGAGGCGGAGGAGGAGGAGGCGGAGGAGGAGGAGGCAGCGGAGGAGGGCGGAGACAGCGGAGGCCACGGTCGGGAACCGTTGCTCGGCGTGCCGCGGTGGCGGGCACCGCCCTGCACGCCGACGGCGCGCCGCGTCGCTCCGCGCGCGGGGCTGGAGGCGGAGAAGAGCTCGGCAAGTTTGAAGGGGCCCCAGGACACACACAAATAAATACACACAAATAAAGATATCCCCCATATTTTCCCACATTTTCTGGGTTTCCGTCTTCCCCACCACTTCCCATATTCTCCCATATTTTCTGAGGAATCGAGGCTTAATGGTGTCTGTGTGCTTCTTTTCCTCCTGAAAGTTGACGCTTGGGTACTGGGACGTGGTTAGCGTATCGCGCCGAAGCACGGTGGGCCAGAAGCGGCGGCGCGAGACGCCAACCAGCAGATCCCGACCGCACCAACGAAGTGGCTGGCCGAAGCACTGCCAGCTTGCCAAGAGTGCGCCACGTGCAGGAACCCACTGTCGCAAGGCCACGTCTTCTCTACACCAGCGGAGGACGGGCGAAGGACCATCGAGGAAGCAAACTCGGCACACAACCAGGGGATCCACCCGGGGATCCACCCGGGGATCCACCCGGGGATCACCCGGTCCACTCGCGTGGGCGCGACGCTCGGATCTGTTCCGGACACGTCCTGAGGCTCGCGCCCGCGCCGCTGGGCGCGCCGTGCATGCCCCGAGAGAGGCCGGGCATCCCTGCCTCCGGCTGGGCGGCCGCGGGGCGGTGCTTCTGCACCAGGACCGCCCTGGCGCTGCAGAAGAGCTCCTCTGCGCCGGCCTGCCGGGCATACCAAACGGCGCCGATGCCGCTGCTCCCCGGACCTCTCTCCTGGGGGGTGCGCTCTGGCCAGGAGCTCGAGGCGAACTCAGCGGTGGCGACGGCGGCCTCCCAGGAGGCCCAACAACTGGCCATCGCTCGGACGTCCATTCCCTGTGTTTTTCTCGGCTTCGTGCGTGGCTGCTTCGCCAAAGGATCACGGATGCTCCTCGATATGGTCCTCGCCGAAGGAAAAACATGCACACGTCCGAGCGATGCCAAGACATGGGGAAGACGAGGGCAGGGCAGAGGTATATGGGTAATGGAGGATGACGATTAATAAATGACCGGGGGTCGTGTTCACGCGGCGCCCCCCGGGGTGACGATTAGAAAAAACTGGCCGCGGGCTGGAAACCTATTTTTTTTACTCGTTCTCCTCCAGTCAGAAAATTGTGCAGAAATAGCAGAACACTATTTTTTTAACGTTCTCTCCCATGTTTTATGAATCGCCATCCCGCATTAGTGCCAGCGCCGCAGACGACCCCGAGCACGCAGCTGCCGGCCTGCTCTGCCACCACCGCGGAGCCGGCGGGCGACCCCGAGCAGGTCGCGGCGCCCGACGGCGCCAGGCTGTCGGCCCCGAGCGGGGGCCGCGGCGGCGCTCCCCGCGGCAGGGCCGCGGCCACGCCCTCGGCGGCTCCGCCCGCCTCGGTGCCGCAGGCTGCCCCCGGGCCCTGCTCGGCTAGGCGTAGGTTACCAGCCTCGAACGTATCCCTATCCCTAAGGTTGGCACGCCAAAAGGCGATGACAGTCTTAGGGAGTCCTCAAAAACAAGGGACTCCATAAGATTGGCATCGTGATGAGGATGTGCCCAGCATGGGGATAGGGATATGCTCCAGGCTGGTAAGTAGTTAGGAGTGGCCCTGGGCAAGCGTGACCTTCGGTGCGCAGCTCCTGGGGGCGCGAGGGGGCCAGGCCCAGGAGGGCGCGGGCCGCTCCCGTCGCCACCGCGCTCGGCGATCGGGGCTAGCCCGAGGAGCCCGCACCGGAGGCCACTCCGGCGCAGGGCCACTCTTGCGCGTAGCCGACCTGAGGCGAGAACAGGCCCACGACCCAGGCCTCGGCAGCCCTGACGTCCTCCGAGCCCAGCGCGACCTGGCACCTCTGCGCCTCCTGGGTGAGCCTCGCTTCGGCATCCTGCGGGGAAGCCAGAATCGGGGTCCCCCTACCCGGGGTCCTGGCCATACCCCAGGGGTGGACCTGAACGGTGTTTTGGAGATTTCGTGGGCCGTTTTCGTTTCGATTTCGTTTTGCGTCAACGGCGGACTGAAGACAAAGCGAGGGAAAACGAAAACAAAACGAAAACGAAAAACACCTTTTAGGTTCAGCCCTGCCATGCCCGACAGAAGCAAGGGGGGACGGATGTGCCGCTCGCTGCTCACCAGAGGCTCCCCCTCCCGGGGTGCGCTCTGGCCGGGCCCTCGCTGTCAGCTGCCAGCCGTGGCGACGAGGGCCCTCCGGGCGGCCCGGGACCGAGTCGGGCCCGTCCCTCTACATGGGGGATCTTCACAAGTAGCCCAAAAAATAATCTGGGGACGATGTCTTGTGCATTCTCGACTATTTTAACATATTTTTGGATTATTGTTTATTGTCCCCCTGTAGCGGGACAGGCCCGACCTAAGCCCAGGACGACGAGAACGAGGCAAAAGGGCAGCAGTATCGGTCGGCACCTGTTCCTCCCGTGATCCTGGAGGTGGCGCGCCGAGCGGTCGTCGAACTCGCAAAGCTGCGGCCCTCCCGCGGGCGACGTGGAAGAGGAGGAGACGCAGCCGGGCACGCCGAAGGAGAAGTCCGCGAAGCCTCCCGCCCGCGGTGCTGCACCGGGTGCGGCGCGCGAGCACGCCGCGTGCAGCGCGTCGGGCTGCCCTTCGGGCCCGCCGGCGGCGCCAGGCGCGAGCCTGCTTCGCTGCACGCGCACCTGCTCTGCGGTGACCAGCGACAGCATGAAGATCCGCGCCTCGTTCCTGCGCAGGCGGGGCACGCACGCAACGCACAGGCACGCGCGCGAAGGAGCGATCGCAGCGCACATACACACAAACATCCACAAACTTTCACAGATAGATGCACGCACACGCACACGCCCATCCACAGAAGCACACGCGCACACACACTCTCCGCAACACACGAGGGCTCGAATGGGAGGCAACGGCCGCGAACACGGACGCTCATTCTCGGCTTGTGTGGTCCCGTTCGTCGCTCCTGACCCTGGAAGAGAACGTCTGCTCCTGTTGCTTTGAGGCTGTCGACTCCCGCCGCCGCTACAGGGCCAACGCTGGGTTCTCTCCCGCATCTTGCCAAGGGCGGGCCGCCGCCACCGACTGCATGCCCCTTGCAATGCCATGTCCGTTGCCGCGTGGTCCCGAGGGCGATGCGGCGAGGCACCGTGTAACACCTTGAATCGCCGCGCTGTCGTGTCCGTGTTCCGCGACCGTGGACTCAATACTTTAGTAGGTCTGGGAGTGGTCGCACCAACGAGACATCAATGCTCTTGTCGTGGCTGCCTCAGTTCTCCTGGTTATTACATTATATGCGCTGTTACTCCCGTGCATCACGTATTGCCTCACAAGTATAGCCACCTCCGAACTTGTCACACGTGCGTTTCTGGTGGTCGCGTGTGCACGTTTACTGTACGAATTTCAACAACAGTGGCCCTCTCGCAACCGCAGGATATAGTGTGTACGTGTCTTCCCGCAGGATTCACTGGACGGCATTTTCTTATTAGGGCGAGCTTGAGAACCTGCAGGCCTTCTGAAAAGCGAATGTCCTACTCATGTACGCAGGCGGAAGCGATCGCTTGGAGAACCGGAGCGTCGTGGAGACTGACGAACACACACAATCAGAGGGTCTCTCTGCTATGTGAACTCAGGCCGCCGCAGGAAAATACGTGTGTGCAGAACCCCGGATAATACAGGGAAATTCTGATGCCTCGGCGCAAAGTCGTCGTACCCTTTGGGGTCCAACGAGGTCCGAGGGCTGGCTGCCTCTGGTTTGGGGCGGCAGGGACAAAGAAAGAGGAGGAGGACGAGGAGGGAAGAGAGGGGCTGAGATGGAGGGGCGCGAAAGCAATGATGCGCGAAAACTATTGGAACAAAAACAACCGAAACGCATGCGAATTACAGAGCGGATCACAAGGTGCACATGGTTGGGGGCAAGTCTCCGAGCCTGGTTGGATGGAGCGCCTATGCCCCGCACACCTTCGACTCCGACTCCATCAGCGCGATGCGGTCGTCGGCGGTCTTGGCCTCGCTGCCGCGCGCAGTCGAGAAGTGCAGCCAGGCAGAGTACCACGAGCACAGGATCATGTCCAGAACCATCCTCGCCGCCACGAAGGCCAGCATGCCCTTGAGGACGGCGACGCGCCGGCAGAGCGCCTCGAGCAGCAGCCCCAGGAGCCCGTTCGCGAGCAGCCAGCCCGCGAGCAGCCTCCTCCGCGCCCGCGCCCGCTGCTCGCGCCCCTGGTCCTCCAGCCTGGCCAGGGCCGCGTGCTCGCCGGTGCCCTGGCGCGTGCCCCAGCCGAGGGTGGCGGACGCGTCGGCGTTCGCCACGCCGAGCAGGGGCGCGAGCGCGTTCTCGATGCCGTAGACGAGGGGCAGCGCCAGGGGCAGCGCAAGGGCGGCCCAGGGCGCGCGGACGCCGTGCGGCAGCCTGGCGAGGCTGACGAAGGCGGCGGGTGCGAGCTGCAGCGCCCAGAACTGCCAGTAGCGGTGGGCCTGCCAGTATGCCACCGTCAGGGTCAGCTGCGAGGCCGGCAGCAGCGCGGCCAAGCCCATGGCGACGCAGTGGACAGTGGGCAGGTCTGAGATGGGTCGGCCCGCCGCCGAGACCGCGTAGAGCGACAGGGCCAACCAGAGGACCCCCATGGTCGCCAACTCCACGGAGTCCTCGGGGAGCACCTCGCCGTGGAAGTTGCACATGCCTTCCGCCAGCTGGCGAAGCGGAGGGCCGCTGATCTTGGCGAAGAGGAAGACGATGACGCCTACGCCCAAGAACTCGCCGCGGAAGAAGCACTCCAGGAGCTCGAACAGCCAGTGCACCGCCTGGAAGCCAGCCCAAGCCCGTCTGCGGCACAGGAGGATGTCGGAACGGTTGCCGAGGTGCGAACGCTTCCACCGGGCTTGCTGCGCCAAGTACTCGAGCCACGTCTCGGGCATGAAGGTGGTCGCGTGACAGTGCAGGAGGTGGCGGACCTTGAAGCCCTGCTCCAAGACCAGGTTTGTCAGGTACGAATCCTCGCCGCTGTCGATCCGTAAGCAGTCCCAGATGGAGGCCGGGCTGCAGGCCCTGCAGTACTCCTCCGTGCATGCCCTCAGGGCGCCCGTGGAGAACATGACGAAGGCGCCGCCAGCTGGGTGCTGGAAACCGAAGCAGGACTGCGAGCCCCAGGTCAGGCCCGAGACCCCGAAGTTCCTCACGGTCTGCCAGACCAGCGCGGTGCTCTCCGCACGCCGCTCCGGCAGCAGGCACGGGGTGGCGCCGCCCAGCCCCTGGTCGACGAGGCAGGAGAACATGCGGCCGACGGTCCCGGGCTCCGACCGGCAGTCGCCGTCCACCAGGAGCAGCGCGCGCGGCAGCGGGCGGCCCGCCTTCTCGTCTCCGGCCAGCAGCGAGAGCGCCATCGCGTGGCTGACGCGCTTGGTGCGGGGGACCGCAGGCCCCTTGACGTACACCTCGAAGGGGGCGCCGTGGGGAGACACGCCGGTGAACAGGAGGCACCCGTGGGCCACAGCAGGAGCGCCCAGGCGCAGCAGCCCCGCCAGGTGGAGCAGGGCGCCCAGGCTGTCGTCGCCCCAGGGCTCCGGGAGCGGCAGCCCCCGCGCCAGGGCCGAGCGAGCCGCGAGCATGGCGTTGTGGACCGCCGCGCCGCCCTCGCCGACCGCCTGCTGGAAGAGGCCCGAGCCCTGCGCGCCGTCCACGAAGATGATGATTCGCATGCTGGGGTCCCCACCGTTTTGGGTAAGACCGCAGATGCAGTAGTCAAGCTCGAACCCCGACTCGCGGTACACCGCCACGACGGCCCAAATGTCCTCGCTTCGCACCGGGTCTTCGGGCCGGGGCACCAGGTCCACGAGCAGCGTGTCCGCCTCTCCTTCTCTCTCTCTCGCCATGTCTGCGCACCGCGGGGCGCCGCCTGGAGTGATCGTGCTTCAAGTGCTTCAGCTTGAGCCATTCCCCGGACGGCATATCGGTTCCGAGCTCTTCCTGGGAGCGGTGGCTGCGGCCCATCGTGTGTGAGCAAGAATCCGTGTGGAGCGGCTTGTACGGATTTTTGTTTGCACTTTCTTCCATGTGCGTGGGTAAGGAGCAAGGCAGATCCCTTTCGTGGGGGTCGCCGTCCAAGCTCAGGGGTGTACTTCGCATCATGGAAGATGTCTGTGCTCTCATGCGCTTTCGAGAAAGGCAAATGTTGCCCCAATGCGACCAAATCTGATCTCAAGACAGCCCAAGGGACCCCAAGCACGCGCCAAGAAGGCTCCAATAGGTCTCCCAGGATGGCCTCGAGAGGCAGACGTCATTGACTTTTGCAAGGTATTTTTAAAGGTTTGTGGATCCTCGCCTTTTCTGTTCAAAGAACCGTCCAAGGCGGCCGAAGAGGCCCCAAAGATCATGCGGAGACGGCCGAAAAGGTCACTCAGAGGGCCCCAGGACTGCCCAACAGGCCCCCAAGGCAGATTACGACCCTTTGGGCGCCCCAAGAGAACCCCAAAAACGGCCCAGAGAGGCCCCCAAGACTGCCTCCGAAGGCGCCACACGGCCAAAGAGCGGCCCCAGACAGCCACAGGGAGCGCCACTATGTCCCAAGAGAGCTCAGGATGTCCCAAGGCCAGAGAGAGCCCCACGAGAGCAACCGCTAGCAGAGGGCCCTTCCCCAGCGTTCCCCTCCCCAAATGGTTTCCCCGACAGCCAGGAGAACACGCAGCCCACTAGCGTGGCAACACTTTCGCTCGACGTGCCGCGATACAGGCGTTTCCAGTAGGCGCGGGGCGGCGGTGACTCAGGCTTCTTAGATCCGCTGCTACCTTCGCTAGCAGAAGGGTGCTAGACGTGCCGAGTTTGAACACTTGCTGTATTTAGCCCTTCCAAGAAACTCCTCATCTGCCGAAGCAGCCTCCCCATGGCTTTTCCGTCCAAGAGTGCTCCAAGAAAGCTTCCAGGACGGCCCCAAGCCTCCCTCAAGACGGACAGTGTGGCCCCAAGAAGACTCGTGGTAGCACCAAGGTGGTCCACAACGCCCCCAATAAGTCCTAGAAACTAGGTTCGGCGTCTCTTGGGCCGTCCTGGGGATCCCCCGGGGTCGGCCCAAGATGCCATCATCACTGGGAAGCCATTCGTACTTCAGTGTGTGTTCGGATGATCGCCGTTTCGGTCTTCAGGGCGCCCAGGATGGCCCACGAAGCCCCCACCACGGCCCAAGAGAGCCCAGGAGGGCCCCGCGACGGCCCAACAGGCCCCCCGGACAGCCCGTGGCCGCACCTTCGCTGGACATTTCAAGGCGCAGGCGTTCCCAAAAGGCAGGGGGCGGTGGTGACTCGCCGTAGGCGCCTTCGATTGCCATTTCCTGTTCGTTCCCCTGCTAGTCCTCTGAGCCCGTTTGGGTTCTGACGGCGCTCCACTGCACCGCCCGCAGAACGCTTCGTCCGCTTCCCTCCCACCATGCTTCTCTAGAGCCCCGCCTGCGCAAGCTGGCGTTCCACTCCAGAAAGTCCTCGTGGAGGACGATGGGGGATAAGATGAATGAGGTCGAAGGGGACGAGGAGGAGCACGAGGACGAGGAAGATGGGGACAATGAGGACGCGCATGATGAGGAGGAGAAAAGATACGAGACGTAAGACGAGTAGGCATGAGGACGGGAGAAACATGATGACGATGAGGCAGACGAGGACAAAGAGGTCGGAACTACCAACTGGGCGCTCGTACGAATGCCCTGTGGAACAACCAAGCGCGCATGACACACAGGCTTCAGTACAATGCGTTGCCTGACGTCACCCAGCATCATTGGATCTACACCGCACCCTCCAAACCCCTGTATCCAGCGGGGCATTCAAACTGTCAATGTCATGTATTGTAATCTGTTCAGACATACGTTTGAATGCCCCCTGCGCATGGTATTGAAACATAATTGGCCAGCTCCAAACACTTAACTGGAAGCTGCGTTTCGTCGATTTCGCCCTCCAACGGCGCAAGCACCTGTCACACCAATACCCGCTTGCATGTGTATGCTAATGCGCATGGTCATGACAGCTTCCTTATCATTCCACACGTTACCCCAATGATTGCATATCACAATGCCAGATCTCTCTCTCTCTATGCATGTTTTTTGTTTCTCTCTCTCTCTCTCTCTCTCTTCCTTCCTCCCTCTGTCTCTTCCCCCTCTCTCTCTGTCGCTACCTCTTCCTTTTTTTTCTCCCTCTCTCTCTCTCTCTCCCTCTGGACGGGTCAAGATGTAAGAACACCGAGTGAGGGAACCAACTGGCAAATCTGCAAGAGCTTAATCATGAGTGCGCCCCCCCATAGAAAGAGCGTGCCACCATGCACATGCACCCACGTAGGGACGCAACGTCTGTTGAGTCACCTGAGCGCCAGACGTATTGCAAAGCCAACTGAAGACACATGTGTGTTTCCCCTACGGGTGCCGGGTGGGCGGGGAGGAGGAGGAGGAGGAGAAGGAGCAGGAGGAGGCGGAGGAGGAGGAGGAGGAGGAGGAGGAGGAGGAGGAGGAGGAGAAGAAGTGAAAAGGGGAGGGGGGGTGCTGCCACGTGAGGTAAGCACACCTGCATCACGTGCGTCTGATCCGAGGCGGGAGCCCGGATTCGAAAGCAGAGATGGTGGTGGCGGGTTCGTGGAACATGTTTACTCGTGATCTCGCAGAATTTGGTTGCTTGCGCATCGCTGAACCAAAATATGCATCGACGGCTTTTCTTTTGTGCTTACTACCCGGTCGACATAATCACAGCAAGCGACGAAGTGATCGTGGTGAACCCGCAACACAAGCCATCTGCGGTGGTTTCCTCCTTGGGGGACAGCATGCGTACCACCAATCTGGAGCACGCACAGAACGGTGATGCGTGAGCCCGCCGCGAGCACATCATCATCATCATCATCATCATCATCATCATCATCATCATCATCATCCTACGAATCTGGCTCTTTCTCTGGGCAGCGGGGATATCAAGAACAGGTGCTCACGTTGACTTTTCGCAACATGTTGTGGCAACATAACATGTGTTTCGGGACAGCGGGTATCCGAGGTGGGTGCACGAACCATGTGTAAGATGGCAATCGCAGGGCCAACTGAAATTACTTGCAGTCTTGTTGTGGGCCCAACGCGGCTATCACCTCCTCTTCGGATATGGCCTACCGCCTGTGCCACGAAAGAACACATCAATCACGTAACATGCACGCAAGCAGATCTTTGCATGCACATGCACTGCAACATGATACGGCTTGTCCACAAGCGTCAACGTCTACAACGCTCTTTGTTCCAGCATCTTGGCGGCATGCCAACCGCAAGACTTTGTGAACGCAAATGCGGGCCCAACACCTTCCTTGTCACTGAGACTGATTTCTCGCCGGGGCAGCACCAAGCAATGACATCAGGTGGCTTTGTGTGTTACACCATGCTGGGCACCATCCAGACCACGTACAAAACCTTATTTGTGACTCCACATGGTTGAATCATAAGGTGGTTCTACGCAAGGACGAATCATCTAGCTTGCCCCTGTGTGTGTTTTTTGGGTGGGTGTTCGTTGTTGGGCCTTCTTGTGGTGGCTTGGTTTCTTCAAATGGAAGCACGCATCTTCCGTCCCTGTACTGGTTCACGAGCAGACTCATCATCTCAATTGCCTTACGTATTCCCTTTTCATTTCGTTTGATACGTCCCTGTAGATTCTGTATACGTGTGGGTTGCATGCGCGTCCCTTACGCATGCAATGTCTTACTGATGCCCAACTACGCGAATGCTTCCATTCTCATGTGTCCTCAAGCTTCCTCAATGTGGCAATCGGGAGCGGCAAAGAGGGGGGTGTCCAAGAGGGGGGAGTGCAAATCATGACCGGCGGCATGTGCGCTGCCCAGCGGGGGGGCCCGGGACGTGATGAAATAAGAAGAGGCGGAATGAAATCTGGGGAAATATCATGGCCCGCGCCATGATATCCACCCCCCCTAGTCATCACCCCCCTCTTTTCCGCCCCCGAGGCAAGGATGAGGCATCGAAAGACGAACCGCCGGGGCGGTGCTTGCGCCCTTGCTCTAAGCTCACCTTTCTCTTTACTCCAATCAGGAGAAGTACATACTGATGCCGAGGACGAGGGCCATGAAGACGGGGGGGACGGGGGCAGGGAGCTCTAAGCTCACCTTTCTCTTTACCCCAATCAGGAGAAGTACATACTGATGCCGAGGACGAGGGCCATGAAGACGCGGGGGGACGGGGGCAGGGGGCACCTCGATAGAGCGCTGCGTGCGAGACCAGACCTGTGGCTATGTGCAGCATGCCTCGCATGCAACACCGTGGTGAACAGCGCTGGCCAATCACAAGGGGAGGCACACCTTCTTACACTCGTCCGGCATATACTTCCAAACACAGGAATCAAACGTTCCGACATGCCTGGCCCTCCGCTCCCCCAGTTCGGAAATTGAACCTGGGGATCCCCCGTGCCACGTACATGACCAACTTTGTCGTGGTGGGGGGCGGGCGACGATGCTGCCAAGCCGTGCCCAACTGTTTGCTTCGATTGGTCGATATGGCTGTCCCCCCTTGTCCTGGGAAGGGTTTCTTGTCATTCCTCAGGCGCCTCCGACTCACCTTTCTTCCCTCCCCCTCCTCCTCGTCCTCACTCAGGCTCACTCATACTCAGACTCACTCATCACACTCAGAATCGTTCACACTCAGACTCATTGACACTCAGACGCGCTCATACTCAAACTCATTCGCACTCAGGTTCAATTATACTGACACTCCCTCTCACTCAGACCCACTCATGCTCAGATTCGCACAAACTCGATTGCACACACACGCACACACTCACATACCATTTTCCCATATCCTACCGTACTCGGCCGAATTATGTTCATACTTCTGCGCACACCGTTGACACAACTAGAGCCCCACGCTCAAAGCTATCTGGATGTTCGGGCCCAGATTGTGGGGATGGTTCCTTTGCCTGTTTGGTGGCTTGGACTTCGGTTTTATCAGAGAAGATGTTGAGGATGTTTCGAGCGAGGCTGCTTGGGGTTTCAGCACTGGGAAGAGCCGCGAGGGGTAGGACAATTGCCAGTTCGCGCCCAGATCGTGGGGATGCATCAGGTAGTTTGCCTGTTTGATGGCTTGGACGCTGGTGATTTCAAAACAGGATGCGAGGATGCCTCAAGCAAGGCGCTGGCTTCAGCACCCCAGGCGGCCAGATCGCTGGGGTGTATCGAGCGAGGCGCTCGGTTTTGCGCCTCCGACTCCTGTCCATTCAGAGCCCCATGGTCACCTTGATGCAAGGAGAAGGACGGCTGTCAGGACAGAGGAGGGAGGACGGATGAGGGAGGAGGCGGGAAGTGGGCGAAGGGAGGAAGCAACGCGAGAGGGTACGACGAGTAGTAAGAGGAAGGAGGGGGGAGGGGGCCTGCTCACCGGCGCTGTCCCTCATAGTAGCCGCCGTCGTCGTCGTCGTCGTCGTCGTCGTCGTCGTCGTCGTCGTTGCACTGGTCGACCACTCGGACTCGCCATCGTACTCAGACACTCACGGGCAGACACTCATCGCGAGACGTGCCGAGACATGACATGCACATATGGTTATTTCCGCGTTGAGTTTTGAGTTGCGCAAGAATGAATACTCATAAGTGTATCTGAGCGCACATTCGCACTTGCACACCGGTACTTATCGATGTATACTGGGGTATGGCCATAGCTGTACATATACGTACAGATAGGCACGCGTCTGCAATCTAATAAACCTGGATGCCAATGCAAATTGCTGCGAACGCGTGCAATGATCTCAAACTCCGGCGCGCTGGGGCGTGGTGCAATAATGAACCGCGTGAGGTCCACGCGCTGGCACCATTCTGTTGGCGTCTCAAGCTTTTCGGCCCATGATGAACTCAGGGGGCCTTTAGAGAACCCCTAGACGGCCCTGAGAACCCTCCGCGACTGCCCATGATGGCCCCTGTACATCCGCAGTGTGGCTCGAGAGCTGGCAAGACATTCCAGGAACGCCACCATCAGCCTGCAAGGGCTCCCCATGTGGATCTACTGCTACCGAGCCTCGTCGGGAGAGCTAGGCAAACAAATCGTGCTCCAAGCCCAAGACCCTCAACAGGCCCTGAGATGCCGTCCATGGCCCCCAATAGAGTCCCAACAGGCCTAAATAAATTTAGAATCAGCCCAGAGTGCACAAAACATCAACCACGCAATGATGCGACCACGCCTCGCGAGAACGTCATGCCGCTGATTCCTCCACGATTTTGAGATGGTTCTGCCAAGCCATCCTGCATGCACTTCGATGTTGTTCTGGGGTGGGCGCTGGTTTCCTCACGCTCATGGAGTGGTATGCGCCAACTCTGGAAATTAAGCTGACGCCAGCGTTGACCTCTCTTGGGAATCTGGCCGTTGCTGGCGACCCCCGCCGGCTTTCAGAAACCTTCTGCTGGCTCTCGCTAGAAAGGGGACATCAGCTCGCTTGTCCCGCGAACCATAAGCAATGTCTTGAGCAACTCTGCCTGCACAATCCGCCAGTGCATGTGGGACAGCACATCGGCCCCGTGCGAAATGCGATCCCGCGCGCGTTCGAGTGGTGGACATACGCGGCTGTGCACGCGTTGACCGTGTCTCTCGCTGGGCACTCGGCTACTACTCCCCTCCTCCCACCTTCCCTTTCCTCCTTCCTCTCCCCCCATCCGCCCTACCACGTCCGCCACTCCCTCAACACTCCCTGTCCCTCCTGCCCTCCCCCTCCCCCTGCTCTTCCTTCTCGGTCTCCCTCCCTTCCCGGCACAGACTTGTTTGAGTCGCACAAGAACAGCTGCGGCCAAGGTCCCGCCCGCTTGACAAGGGGGTCCTCTCCGACTGCGCGTGCCAGCTTGGAGTAAAGCTCCTGTGGGGCGAAGAAGCGCCTCGATTGACGAATCAACTAACCACTCATTTCATCGGTCATTCACCAAGGCTCTCTCAATCATCCTTCGCTCGCTCACTCGCTCGCTCGCTCGACTGGCTCCGCTCTGGAGAGGTGGTCGCTTGTGTGGCTTCAGAAAAAACATACATGGATCTTGAACACTTTGCGAACGAGTACTTTTTAGATTGTCGCAGGACGCAGGGCGAGTGTCCTGATGTCCCGTACCGCCTCTTCACGCTTCTTCTAGCCTTACCTTTCCCTCGCCTTTCCGCTTCCCCGACTCTTCAACTTGCTCGTTTTCATCGTCCTGGCCTGTTCCCCTTCCAATCTCTCGTGCCCTCTCGTGTTCATCCTCGCTCGCGTCATGCTCCCTGGCCTGCTCTTCAGCCATGCTGTATCCTGCTCCACCGCTCTTCCTCTCCCCCTTCTCGTGCAAGCTCCAGCGGGGGATCTCTGAATATGCGGCTCCCAGATCTCTCCTAGCGCGCCTGCCCTGGTGCCTCTCAGCTCCCTCGTGGGGGCCTCCAGCACTCCCAGGGCCAATCCCACGACGAGCCCAGCGCGGGACAGCCCGTGGAGACTCTACGGCCGGGAACTTCTGAATGGCTTATCGCCACGGCGGCCCTTGCGAACGGATGTCGTGTCGCTCCGCTTCGCGGGGTGGGAGGCCGGAAGAAACTCGGCACGTTGACGCCTGGGGACCGCGAAATGGATAGCGTGTGGCGCCGAAGCGTGGCTGGCCAGAACCGGCGGAGCGGCGCCGTGTCCAAAGATCATCTCAGGCCCGCTTCGGAACCGGCCATCTCGGGCCCGCTTCGGACGTCCCGTGAACCGTACTGCGGCCCGTCGGACCACCCTCGGCAACCGCGAGCGCGGAAAAAGGAGGATGGTGAATCAAGAGCCGTCTTGGATGCAGGTTTAGGTCGGGCCTGTCCCCCCACAGGCGGATTTTGGGCGAAAACCGAAAATGTAAAAACAGATTCCCAAATGGTAAGAAATAGTCAAAAAATCGTCCCCAGACAATTTTTTTACTATTCTCGAATATTCCTCCTGTGGAGGGACAGGCCCGACTTAAATGTAGGTGCTGCTCCGCTCGCTCGGCTGTGCCTCCCCGGCCCCGTGTGCCCGTGCCCGTGGGTTGAGTTGCCCCAAGCTGGCCCTGCTGCTCTGTGAGCGTACGTTTTGAAGAGCGTGAGCAGGCGGGCCATGCCAGCGCAGCCCCCGCAGTGTCGGGCGAACCATGGCTGCAGGGGACCGTCGGCGGGGGAGCAAATCACTAGGCGACGAGCCTTCGGTGGCCACTCATGGGAGCCTCCCATACCGTCTTGGCGGCTCTCGCGAATCGACGCCAATCGGCGCTAACTAGACGTTAATCGACGCTGAATCGGCGCTGTCTTGTCTCATCGATCCCCAGACGCTAGCCGACGCTAGCCGAAGCTGAAGACGGAAGGAGAAGGGTATACCATGCCAAACTCCAGTGGTTCGCTGCCGAACTGACCCCCTTTTATTGCCTGTGCCACCCTCTCGTCTTGGCGGTGTCGCGCATGCCGTTAAAGACGTATATACATCGGTCCCGGCAGTGGTCCTTCTCCCGCTCCCCCTCCTCCTCCTCCTCCTCCTCCTCCTCCTCCTCTCCTCCTCCTCCTCCTCCCTCCTCCTCCTCCTCCCCTCCTCCTCCTCCTCCTCCTCCTCCTCCTCCCTCCTCCTCCTCCTCCTCCTCCTCCTCTCCTCCTCCCCCTCCTCCTCCACTCCTCCTCCTCCTCCTCCCCTCCTCCTCCTCCTCCTCCTCCTCCTCTCCTCTCCTCCTCCTCCTCCTCCTCCTCCTCCTCCTCCTCTCTCTCCTCCTCCTCACTCCTCCTCCTCCTCCTCCTCCTCCTCCTCCTCCTCCTCCTCCTCCTCCTCCTCCTCCTCCTCCTCCTCCTCCTCCTCCTCCTCCTCGTGCAGCCCCCCCGCCGCGCTCCTGGATCCAGGCCGCGAACCTGGACTCCAGCCGGAGGCACAGGCTGGTGCGCAGGGCCACCCCGTCCTGGGCAGCAGGCGAGGCGGCGAAGCATCTGTGGCACCCTCGGGGGGCCTTGGCTGCCCTGACTACCTACCACCCCAACCTAGCCCGAAGACCCGAATTTCGGGTTGGGGGGGGTTATGGGCTCCATGTGTGTTTCCTCGATGTTCCCCCCCCCCCCACTGGAAATGGAGGTCAATCTGAGGCCTTCGGGTTGGGTTGGGGTGGTTTGGTGGGTGGTGATGCCCGTCGCGGCCCCCTCCGCATCGAGTCCGTGTCGAGTCCATGTCGGCCTCGGGATCCGTGTCGAATCCGCGTCGAGTCCACGTGGCATCCACGCCAGATCCGCGTCGACTCCGCAGCGAGCCCGTGTCGGGCACAAGAGAAGATGACGATGTTGGGGGACGAGCGGGGTCCTCCGAAGTTGCAACGTAATGACGGGCGGCAGCGTCGGCAGGGAGGACACTGAGACGAAGCCAGGACGAAGATACATGTGGGTGGTGATGAATCGAAAATCTCTGAGATCCGGCGGCTCTGGGGGATGCCTCGGGCGCCGCTGCCTTCTCATAGCATTCTGGAACGCTCTGAGAACGTTCTGGGACTCAGCGGCGAGCAAGGGGGGGAATTGAGAAGGAGAAGGCGTTCTCAGAAGGCGACGGGGCTTCTCAGAAGCCCTCGCGCCGTCTGAGAAGTTTCCTGCGTCTCCGGGGAGGGCTCAGACCACTTCTCAGAAGACCGGGGGACTTCCGAGCCTCCCGAGGAGGCCCGCCGACTCCCCCAGAGTGGGCTCCACACGTCTCAGGCTGCCCCTTCTCTTGCCCTCCGAGCTCACTTCTTGGCCTACGTCACCGTGGCGGAAGTGTCTTCCAACCTGCCTTGGCCAGAGGCGCACATCAGCGCGGAGTGGTTCGGAGCAGAAGTGCTCCAGACTGCTCCGCGCGTGGGCGCAGCCCGCTCGACAGCTCCTAGTATTAGGGTTCGGGGCGGAGGAGTTTCCAATCCGGTCTGGGGGCAGCAGGGATCGGCAACTGCTCCGCCGAAGGGCGCAGTCCCATGGCACGTGGGGAATCTTGAGAGGGACAGGGGGTTTTTCATCCTCATGGCAAACTGGAGAAGCTTCTGTCCCAGCTGTGTAGAGGCCCAGAGATGAAGGCAGGCTGCGCGGGGCGAGGAGGCGATGAAGACCAGGGTGGACCAAGGCAAGCCTGCAATACCCAACGACGTCGAGACAGTGGTGGAACACCTGCAAGCAAGTTCAGCCGAGGCTCGACGGGATATCTCGGCGAATCCTTTGCGCCCAAGACCGGCCCGAGGCCCCCGATGGGCCCTCAGCAGAACCCCTCAAGGCGCCCGAAAGGGCATCAGGCAGCCCTCTGGTCCCGAAGATGCCCCCCCCTCCCCCCCCAGCGAGGCTGCCAGTTTGCCTTCAATCGGACATGGCAGAAGGGAGACACGGGAGGAGAAGGAGGAGAGAACGAGCAGGGGAGGAAGATGATGGGCCTGTTTTCCACCACCACCACCATACGTTGGAGGGGGGAAGGAGGTGGAGGACGAGGAGGAGGAGGAGGAGGAGGAGGAGTAGGACGAAGAGGAGGAGGAGGAGGAGGACGAGGAGGAGGAGGAGAAGGAGGAGGAGGAGGAGAAGGAGGAGGAGGACACCCGCCCACTCCACCTTGTGGTGGTGGTGGCGGAAAGCAGGCCCATCAGACGAGGCTGTGGACCACGAGGGAGCGCTCGAGACCCGCGCCGGGCGCAGCCGGAGCGCCGAACTGGCGGCGGGTCGAACCGGCGACCTCCCTCTCCCTCTTCGCTGCTGCGCTGGCACGGCGGCGGGGGCCACCGCAGGAAGCTGCTCCAGATTTCGCAATAAAGGGAGGGGGGGTCTCATTTCGGGGGGGGGTCCCTTCCAGGCTATCTTGGGGGGCCTGGGGGGGGGTCTGGGGACGATGCTTCGGAGGGTTCTCCCACGGGAGGGGGGTCTGGAATGGCTTGTCTTGGAGGGTCCAGACCCCCTCCCTTTTATTACGACATCTGGAGTGGGCACACGTCGGTCGGAAGACGTAGGTAAAAGCATGGAGTAGGAAGGCGGGTCAAGTAGATTGGCTCCAGGCCCTCCCAGATGATAAAAACACGCACACATCGAGACCATGCCGATTCTTGAGGCAGGAGGGCGCTAGAAGCAGACTGGGATCTGGGAGTCCAAGACTACCTACTTACAACGATCAGCGTGTACGGGTCTCGGAAAACACAGCGAGCACGAACGCCACATTCGTCGGTCAGCGCCTGCCCCCCCCCCCCAGCGTTCGAAGGTGGCGGTGGGTCTGCTTCGACCGCAGTCTCGCCCGAGCGTGCCAGCTTTGAGTTTAGGGGGAGCGGGGGGGGGGGGTCCACTCATTGCTTCCCCCGAGCGTATCGAGTCCGAAGTGGTTCGAGCTGTTGTGCCTCTCTGGAGGCCGTCCCTGAACCCCAGGAACGTCAAGACGTTTCAGGTTGAAGCGCCGATCCTGAGGAGGGGACCCAGGGGCTGGAGCTACGTTGCTCCCATCGTACTGTAAGGACGCACCCCAGAAATAGATTCGAGAATCCTGATAGTGTCGAAACAGTATCAAGCGTGTATTGCCTCCCAGGGCCTGACACGTGAAAACCTCTAAATTTCTGTACTGTTTGGTGCTCGACTTTTTCTCGTGATCAAGGCTCAGATAAGTTGGGACATCAGAAGGCTAGAGGTCCAGGGCCCCGAGACTCGAAACTATTGAGTCGTCAAAAGGTCTGGGTCACCGCCCGATCTCTCTTGGCACGGTACGCATAGTTACCTTTCTATGGCAAGCGTGTCACCGCAGAACTCTGCTGTGCTCGGCTCTCCCGCAGTTCGGTCACCCGGGATGTTCGTGACCTGCGAACTTCAGCAAATGATGAGATCTGACGTAATGAGCCTACAAGCTGGTCTCAATGGATGCTCATGGTATGCGAACTCCAGCAGAGGAATGGGTCTGACGAGGTAGCAGTGCAATTCTTGCTGACCGCGCCTCCCAAGGCCCGAAGCAAACATGTCTAACGTCGGCGGCGAGCCTGGGGGGAAGTGAGAAGGGGGCGGGCCATCTCAGGCTCGGAAATGTTCCGGCCGTCTGAGCAATTTTCTGAGCCTTCCCCGAGGACGCGGAACACTTCTCCGATGGCGCAGGGGCTTCTGAGAAGTCCCGCCGCCAGCTGAGAAGGACTTCTCCTTCTCATCTCCCCCCCGTCGCTCGCCGCCGTCAACGTCAACCGACCGGGCGCTCCCGTACATGGACAATATATTCGAACCCTTACACATTTGAGGGAGATTCTAAATCACCCCCGCGCCCCCGACATCAATGTTGATCTCAGTAAAGGCGGTGTTTTGGGGTTCGAATATTTCTGTCCACTCACACCCCCCCCGTCGCCACGCCATCAATATTAATTTCGGGGGGTCTGGGGGGCATCTTAGGCCACGGGGTTCGAATATAATGTCCATGTACTGTACCAACCCGCGACTGCTCACGGACACCGACTTCCCGCACCGCGGGGGACCGCAACGAGCACGCAGCCGCGGCGTGCGTGCAAGGCGCCCCAGAGGCCCCACGCGCACTCAGAAATATTGCGACTGGTGCCTTTCACACGGCACGTTCGCCCACGTCGTCGTCGTCGTCGTCGTCGTCGTCGTCGTCGTCGTCGTTCGCCGTCGGTTCAGGGGTTCAAGCGCTTCGAGGGTTACCGGCATCTTCGTGGCTTCCCGGAGGTTTCCCAACCCCTGGATGCTCTCCAGCAGCTGCGCCTGGCCGAGGGCGTTCCGGGGCCACCCCGTCACATCAAGCCACACAGTGTGCCGTGCCTGCGAGAGTCCGAGAACACATCATCAGAATATCATGTTTGGCGCTGTGGGGACTCCCAAACAACAGGCATACGTAACTAGCGTACTGGAAATCAGAAACACATGGGGACTCCAGGACCCGGAGGCCCGCAAAACTCCTCTCGGACGTGTGCCGAGGCAGCGCAGCCCATGCTGCCGCTCAGGATGCTTTTGCGCATGCACCTCCCTCGTTTTGCCAGGGCGGGCGCCTGCTGCGAACGCTATCGAGCTACTCGCCCTGCGCGGAGAACTGAAAAATACCAGCCTGGAACATGTCCCAGTCCCTAGGCTGGGCGCATCTCCTCATCGCGATGCCACTCTCAGGGGGTCCCTGGTTTTTCGAGGGCGGATCCCTGAGATTGTCATCGCCTCTTGGCGCGTCCATCTCAGGGACAGGGATCAGTTCGAGGCTGGTAAAAAGAAAAAGAAACAGAGGGGCAACGCTCGGCGGAACCGGTGGGGAGCGACAGGCTGGACGCACCGCCGCGCCCGAACACCACCCCGCCCTCGCAGGCCGCCGCCGCCGCCGCCCGCGAGGGCACGCGGCCGAAGCCCACAAGAGGACTGCCCGAGCCGGACACCGTTACCGTATACCGTGAAAACGTATGGTGAGGACGCGTGGCAAGGGCGCAAGACCCTTGGACTCCTCCCTCTCCTCCTCCTCCTCCTCCTCCTCCTCCTCCTCCTCCTCCTCCTCCTAGGCCGAGGTTGAAGCATTCTGAGCGGCAGGCGGCCAAGCCCCCCCGGGAACCCGAGGAGCTGGCCTGCGGAAACTGCTATAGGGGCGGGCCGCCGAGGCCGAGGCAGGCGAGGACCCAAGGGTACCCTTTTGAAACTCCCTGTCACCATGACGTCGGGCTCCTCCTCCTCCTCCTCCTCCTCCTCCTCCTCCTGCTCCTCCTCCTCCTCCTGCTCCTCCTCTCCTCCTCCTCCTCCCCCCTCCCCCTCCTCCTCCCCCTCCCCCTCCTCCTCCCCCTCCCCCTCCCCCTCCATCGCAGAGCGACGGGTGGGCGAGAGAGGCCGTTTTCGTGCCGGGGGGAAGGGGCTGGGAAGAGACGGCGCAGGGCTGTGTCATCCACACCTTCCGCCGACTCGATCACGTGGGTGACCTGCTCATTTCTCCCAACCCGAGGCTCCTTCCCGATAGTTGTCCTTCTGAGTGTGTGTGTGTGTGTGTGTGTGTGTGTGTGTGTGTGTGTGTGTGTGTGTGTGTGTGTGTGTGTGTGTGGGGGGGGCTGGGAGGGCCCTGCCGCTCCTTGACCAACAAAAGCCTCGCCCCGAGCCGGAGGCCGCCGCGACGGCCACGGCAGCCTCCCCCCCCCAGACTGGCCTCCGGGCGGGCGTGCCCCCCCTGCAGGGGGATGCTGGGCGACAGGATAGGACACACATACCCCAACAAATACCCCCACATGCTCAAACATATAGTAAAAAAGAAAAACGTCCCCAGACTGCTTTTGTTGGGCTATCTTTGAGCATTCCCCCCTTTAGAGGGACAGGCCCAATACCCCCACACTTAGTGGGCCCCGGAAACGGCAGGGCCGTTTTTTCACCGTTTTCGAAAAAATGTCCCTTGAAACTGGAAGCGGCAAAAAAAAAGGCGACCGGAAACGGCTAAAAAACGGCTCCAGGAGTGGAACGGGGGCCGGAACCGGTCCAGAAACGGCGACGGAACCGGTACAAAAAACGGCGTCGGAACCGGCAAACAAAAACGGCAAGACGGAACCGGCAACAAAAACGGCCCTGTCGTTTCCAGGGCCCACTGAGCCCCCACATGCTCAAACATATAGTCAAAAAAAACGTCCCCAGACTGTTTTGTTTGACTATCTTTACAACTATTCCCCCTGCAGAGGGACAGGCCCGACTTACGACCGGCCCGATGTCGCGCAGCGGAGGGGAGCCAGGGCAGCATCGCCGCGGGGCGAGCGCGGCTCGCGGCAGGCCCGCGCTCCGCTCCCGCGCCGAGGGCCTGTCGTGCAGCCGCCTTGCAGGAGCACGGGCCAGCATGTCTGGGCCTCCCAGATTGTGGACGCCCGAAATTGGTACAGTATTCGGCCTGACCTAAGGAACGATAAATAAGGAACGAAGCCCCTTCCTTTTCAAGTAAGACTAGGAAGTCCGAAGGAGCACCAGGGGGGCTCGCCGCCAAAAAGGTAGCGGAACGCATGCAAATTTCAGGAACGACCGAGCCCCTTTTGAATAATAAATTATCCTTGCTCAAGCCGGACCCTGTACGGAAAGAATGGGTACAATGCCCAACAACAAATGTTGTCCCAAACCAACAGCGGCCGCTGTTGGGCGGGCGGCCTTCTGCCTCGAATGGACACAGGCCGCGGCGGCGCGGACAGCGGATCCAGTTCAAAATGAACAGGAATTGCTGTTGGGCACTGTACCCATTCTGTCCGTACCCATTTCGGGCGTCCAGACAGATGGGGTCGGAGTAGGCGGGGTCGGAGGATCGCCCCGCATCAACGATGCATCAGCGATGCGGCTCGATGTGGAGCCCGATCTGCTTCACGTCGACGTCGCCGACGCATCGCCGACGTCGACGATGCATCGCCAGTGCACCGCCGATACATCGTCGATGTATCGGCGATGCGGCGCGATCCTCCGACCCCATGGCCATCAAAATTTAGACAAGCTTCTTGCCTGTCTTGGGGTGCTTGCCAACCGAGATGGCATTGATACAAGCCTCGGAAAAACATAGCGAACACGCGTGCCAAGTTCATCGGTCAACGCCTTCCCCTCCCCCCAGTGTTCAAAATTGGCGGTGGGTCTGATGAGTTCTCTACTTCGACCGCAGTTTCCCCCGGGCGTGCCAACTTTGAAGTTGGGGGGGGCGGGAGGGTGTCCACTCATTGCTTCCCCCTACCGTAGGGCGGGGATGTGGCGGAAGACGCGGGGCAGAAGGGGGGACTGGCGCTGCCAGCGGCACCGCCGCAGGCGGACGGGCGAAAAGGCCACACGCCAGGAGCACGCGCTCCTGAGGGCGAGAGAAGTTGGGCGTGCATTGATGGAAGGAGAAAAAAGGCATAAACATGAACTTTTCATGGTGCGCGCGGATTTCTTGGATCTGCGCTGGACCCCCTCGCGCGCGGAGTGCGCCAGGGGCGGCGCCAGAGGCGCCGCCCGGGAGAGCCCAGCGCGGATCCAAGAAATCCGCGCGGAGCGCCAAAAGTCTATGTTTATGCCTTTTTTTCGTTTTCGAATTAATGGGGGGCGATCGATGGGGGGAGAAGAGAGGTGCGCTTTACGGGCCTTTGAAGCCTCCCTTTTGGGTCCTGAAGGGCCCCTTTTCGGCAGCCCTTGCTGTTTCCCCAGTTATCGCCCCCAGGCGATCTCCTGTCGATCCGGCAGTCGACGCCTGACGCACCCGTGCCAATCAGCTCGAGTGCTAGATTCTGAATCGCAGCAGCGCTCGACGCACTACAGGCGGGCAGCGAGCGTACACATCTCTAGCCTTCTGATGAAGTTGATGCAGACGGGTCGGCCCAGGGCCAGGTCGAGACTGTCGACACGGAATCTTCTGCGCGATATATTGGGCTGCCTCAGCCCCCCACTCACCGCACAGAAAGGAGGAGCACGAGAGCCTTCCTCAAGGCACGTGCAAGAAAATACACACAATGCACCACGTTCGGTCGAATAGCCGGTGTATCTGCCGCCGTGGCCCCATGGCATGCTGAAGCGTGGCAGAGTGCCAGGGGCTGCCTGGCAGGGTTCCAATATTCTTCGAAGGACCCCTCCCCTCCTTAGCTGCCCCGATACGCAACACGCAACACGTAGCGTATTGATACGGAGCTCAACACGTAGATTGAACACGCACGTTTTGAACACGGACGTTCTGAACACGGCACGTGTTACGTTTCATAACGTGCGTATCAGAGCAGCTAAGCTCCCCTCTCGTCGCAGACTCGCGCGTGCACCGCCCCCCTCCCGAGGCCACACTCCCTACTAAGAAACAAGGGTTCCGAGCTCCCGAGGCCACGATCCAGATTGAAAAAACGCCGGATCCGCGCTCCCGAGCCTCCAAGATGACCGAGGCAAGCAACCAATGCCACCAACATAGCCCCCATGATGCCTCCGCCTAAGACACCCCCAAGGCCCTCCAATATTGCCTCAAGACGGTACACGATGCCTCCAAGAGGGCCACAAGAGGACCCCCCACAGGGCCCAAGCGATGCCCCCACAGGTGTCACATGTGACGGTCTTCCTCTTTCTCGCCCTTCTCCTCCTCCTGCTGCTGCTGCTCCTCCTCCTCCTCCTCCTCCTCTTCCTCCTTCTCCTCCTCCTCGCCATCATCCCCATCATCATCCTCAGCACGGCTTTCCCAAGCCTGGGGGCACGAAATGCCACACGCGACGCCCGACCGTGCCCTCTCCAAGACAATCGCCACCCATAATGCTGGGCTACAGCGGTGGCGGGACTTGACGCAGGCAGCAGGGTAAATATCCTGACTGTTAGTGAATGTGAGGCGGACGGGTCGGCCAGCCGCCATGAGTGCCTCAGCAAGGCACGAGAAAGGAAAACTCACTAAGCACTAAGGTCGGGCAGCTACTGTGAAAATCTGCAGACTGTTAGTGGAAGTGATGCGGACGGGTCGGCCCGACGCGGTGCCTTGCCCTGCTTCAGCCCCTGCTCGTCGCACTGAGCATCTGAGCATGGGTGCCTCAGCGGGGCACGAGGACGAAAAACCCAACATGCACTAAGGTCGGGCAGCTAGTGTAAACATCTGCAGACTGCTAGTGGAAATGCTGCGGAAGGGTCGGGGTGCCGCGATGCCTTGCCCTCCATCACTGCCAACTCGTCGCTGGTTTTTTCCAGGGATCGCAGATCCATATTGTTGGACGTTTCTTGGGGGTGGGGTGGGCGGGGGGGCGGGGCGGCGTTGGGCTCAGGGGCTACGGGTTGCCGACTACTGCATCGCTCGCGTGAACTTCCCGCCGCGGGTTGCCTCCTGTGAGCCCTGGAGCGAAGGGCGAGCCTCCGGAGGCCCACAGTCGGGATGACCTGCCGCCCTGTTTCTGTACTTGGGCGCTGGGGGCCCTTCTCTGTTCGCAAGCGTGTCCATGCCGGTCGTCATATGCTCACAAGACCCCCGTCGGGCGCAGCATGTCTATGGCGCTCTACTGGCCATGCGTGCGCGTGGTGTCTGTTTTTGTTGTTGTTCCTGTCCCCAGAGGGGGGGGGTCGTGCGGGAAGGTAACGGTAACGGCGGCCGCGGCGTGCACCCGCCAGGGTGCGTCCGCGCCATCGGCGCATCCACCGCCTGTGTGCACCACAGCATGTATGCAGGGGGAGGGGGGGCAGCCCCCCCCTCCAGTACGATCGCTAGTGCTGCCTATGCGGGGGTGCTTGGCCTGGGCAACGAACGCTACCCTGGGGAAGGCAACAAAAACGCTCCCGTGGCCGCCTCCACCGCCGCGCACCCCTGCCAGTCAGGGCCCCCCGCGCCGCCGCCAAGCGGCCTGCCGCGCGCCCGCGCCGCGCGGGCCTCGGCCTCTCCAGCGGCACCTCCCTCTGCGGCGCCAGCCGCCGGCCACGAAGGGCTGCCTCACGGCGGGCGGCCGAGCTTCGGGAACTCCGGGACGCTGGGCAGGTGGTCCGCGCTGGCCGCCAACTGCGCCCGCACCGCCCCCAGCCGGTCCTCCGAGGCCTGCAGGGCGGCGGCCGCCCGCTGGCGCTCGGCCTCGAGCTGCGCCCGGAAGCGCCGCCGCAGGCGGTCGAAGTCCGCCTCGAACTGCGCCTCGAGCGCCTCCCGCTGCTCCCGCAGGGCGTCCTCCTCCTGCTCCACCTGGGCCCGCATCTCCTCCGCGTGCGCGCGCTGGAGCCTGCGGCGCTGCTGCGCCAGCAGCTCGTCGACGCCCCGCTGCCGCTGCCGCAGGCGGTCGAAGTCCGCCTCGAACTGCGCCTCCAGCTCCTCCCGCTGCTCCCGCAAGGCGTCCTCCTCCTGCTCCACCTGGGCCCGCATCTCCTCCGCGTGCGCGCGCTGGAGCCTGTGGCGCTGCTGCGCCAGCAGCTCGTCGACGCCCCGCTGCCGCAGCCGCTGGCGCAGCTGCTGGATTTCGAGGCGCGAGCTGGCCGCCTCCGCTGCGCAGATGGCCAGCTGCGCCTCGGCCACGGCGAGGCGCTGGTCGGCACTCTGCATGGCTCCAGGGCGCTGTCGGCAACCGTGGACGCGGCTGGCACGGGAAATCGGATGCGGCTGGCTTGCTCGGGCCGTTCTCGAGCCCGGGGCCAAGGCGTCGAACATTGTAGAGGGCGTCGGGCCAGCGACGCCTCGGGCAAGCTCTCTTGCCGAGGCGCCGCTGCCGAGCAAATCCCCCAGAGGCCCGAAGCCAGCAACGAGACCGAGAGCGGCACGCACATCTCCGGACGTTCCCGGAGATCTCCCGAGGGCTCCCGAACACCTTAGGATGAGGTCGGGCATGTCCTCAGGCAGGCGGATTTGGGAAGACAGGCGACGCATAGACAAACCATATTCAACAAAAATCAAGGTGGCACCACACATCGTCCCAAGACTATGTTTTGACTGCTCTCGAGAGTATGCCTCCTGTGGATGGGGCACGCCCGACCGAACCTCAGGACCGCTTGGCCGTCGCGGCGCGGGCCCCCGCCGCCCCCCATCCGCGGGGGCGGAGGAGCCCCAAGTGGCAAGCACGAGTGACCCCTTCGAAGGTCTTTTGAATCCCCCCTCCCCAAAAAGTGCAATCAATTGTAAATTCGACGGCTTCATTCACAAGTTTGCAGGAGCACACAGAATCGATAAGTCGGATCGGCGATCGACATGAACCAGATCGGCGGAAGTCGTCAGTCAAATCGAGAAAAATCAAATCGGCAGAAATCGGCAGGCCAGTAGGCCACCATTGAGAAATCGGAGCCCAAATCGGAATCCGAAATCGAATTGAATCGGAAGCGGAACCATCGAAATCGAATCGAATCGAACCGCATTTTTTCGCAAGGTGGCCCAAGATGCTCGTCGAGGGTGCTCCTCCAACAGCAACTGCTGTTCAAAACCGCTGGCCCAACTGAAGAACATTCGAGGGTACCATCCCCCAAGATGCACAAGATAACATCCAAGCAAACACGAAGAACATCACGGCACCCTCCCCAAACCGATCTCGATCTCATCCGGGGATGAACAGAACCCCCTCTGGCAACACGTGGTTCAGTGAAAAAGACCTCGGCCCCACACCCGGCGGGCGCAAGCCTGGGAAATGACGGCCGCGGCGCCCTCTCGAGAACCGAACCCGGATAATTCACTAATCGACGCGTCAGGGTGGGGTTCTGTCCGCCCCCGACTTCTATGAAGGGGCCCAAGAACACACACATAAATACACACAAATAAAAATATTCCCGATATTTTCAAATATTTTCTGGGTTTTTGTCGTTCCCTCCACTTCCCATATTTTCGCATATTTTCTGGGGAATCGACGATTAATTGTGTCTGTATTTTTTTCCCCTCCTGAATTCTGTCCGCCCCCGACTTCTACCCCGGGCCGACCGCACCCATCTCGATCGCCCCGAGAGAGCACACGTCTAGGACGCCCCGCCCCCCGCAGCAGGCCTCACGCGAGGCCTCCGGGAACCTCCCGCGGCCTCCAGGCACCTCCCCAGCCTCCCTATAGGACTCGGCAGCGCGCAGAGGGGGGTAGGGGGAGGGGAGACAGGCTTCTTAGAAGCACCCCTGCTTCTTAGAAGGCGCGGGCCTTCTCTATAGACGTAAGGCCGAGGCCTTCTAAGAAGCAGGGTGCTTCTAAGAAGCCTTCCCCCTTCCCCCTACCCCCTTTTTGCGCGCCGCCAAAGGACAGAGCAGCACCCCTGCAGAACACGAGACCCTCCGCCAGCCCAAAGGAAGAGAACTTTTGAGGCTGCGCCCTCCCCAGGACAAGAAGATCCAGCAAGCACGAGGAACATCAGGGCACCCTCCCCGAACCGACCTCGATCTCATATCTCTTTGGACGCCCGAAATGGATCGGACAAGAATAGGTACAATGCCCAACAACAAATGTTGTCCCAAACCATCAGCGGCCGCTGTTGGGCAGGCGGCCTCCTGTCCCAAATGGACACAGGCCGCGGCGGCGCGGACAGCGAGCCCGGTTCAAAATGAACAGGAACTGCTGTTGGGCATTGTACCCATTCTTTCCGTACCCATTCGGGCTTTGGCAGAACTGGGTTTAGTGGGATCTGGTTTAGTGATGTGTACTGGGGGACGCCCCGCCCCATTCCACTAACTGGAACTGCCGTCACCCGAAAAGCACCAGCTACGGCAGACCTGGTTCAGTGATTCTGGCTAATTTAGGGGCTCTGGGGCCCTACCACTAACCGGGTCCCCTTAGCTGGGGTCCTGGCTATATCCGACCCATGTTAGGCGGGAAATAGATCCTGACCTCGACCACAGATTCACAATCTGCCGCTACCTCGTCCACGAGCACCGCCAGGACAGAGCCCCCGTCCCGGACCGTGTCGAGGTTAAAAGATGGGCCATCGACAGCGGGAGCTGGATCGACTCAGGCGACGACGTCCTATCGGTCGTCCCGAACCTCGGGCCGGCCGTGCCCGTCTCGATCGCCCCGAGAGCACACGTCCAGGACGCCCCGCCCCCCCGGGGAGGAGGAGGAGGAGCTGGAGGAGGAGAAAGAGGAGGAGGAGGGGGAGGAGGAGTAGGAGGGAGGAGGAGGAGGAGGAGGAGGGAGGAGGAGGAGGAGGAGGAGGGAGGAGGAGGAGGAGGGAGGAGGGTCATTAGCAAGGAGGAGGGTTCGCTCCGCCCCCCCGCAGGCAGGCCCGCGGAGGCCCCTGCGCGGGGGACCTCCCCCGCGCTCCAGGCCCCCCCGCGGGGCGCCGCCTCCGCGGGGGCCTCCGCTGTGGAGGCCTCCGCGGTGGGGGGCCCGCGGGTGGGCCTCGAGTGGGGCCTCCGGGCACCGCCGACCCCTGACGCTCGATCATTCTGTTTTATAAGAAAAGGTGTACTTTATTGGTAAGAAAAAAACTAGAGTATAAGTGTTTTGGTGTTGTTTTTCTTAACTATAAGTGTTTTCGCCTGTTTTCAAATGTTTTTTGACTGTTTTGTTGAATTCGACATATTTTTGAAAGATGTTTGCATTGTTTTTCTCAGCGAAACAGAAACAAAACACATAAGGTAACCGACATGCTTATTTGATGCTAGCACCCTCATTCTATAATGGCACTGGACATAGAGCGTCTGTCCTTGCTGCCCCTGCAACTGCTTTGCTTCTCTCGGCCACTCCTTAACTCCGTAGCCATTTTGGCTCAAGCGTTGGCTCCAGCGCCCCCAGAATTAAGCTCCACGCTTGTCAGATGAGTGGAAGTCTGAAGCGACGTCTGGCAGACCTATCTGGCGACGGGGGGGCCCGTGGCGGCGCCCTTCCTGCTGCTTCTTCCGTCGGTCGTGGCGGCGTGCGCCAACGCTTGGAGGAATCTGGTGCGCCTGGCGCCCCGTCTAGCTCGAGGGCGGAGGCGTCGTCTGTGCCGCAGAGAGGGGTTCGCCAGCGTCGCGCCGCCAAAGGGCCGTCTGCAGCGGATGAGCCCCGCAGTGCCGAAGCCGATCTCCCACTCACTGCTGCTATGAAGCGCGATTGGGGCCGAGGAAAACTGAGCTCCGTGAAGGTACTGGAGTACTGCGCTGCTGCCCATAACCAGGGGGCCCGTGGGCTTCAGAGTTTCGCTCGCTCTTCTCACGCGCAAAATGCGCAGCGATCGCTAGTTGCAGCTTTTGGGAAACCGAGAGGTACACCTGATTTCACGTGGGGTGAATTGCATACAACTAGAGGCAAGATAGTGCACCCATTTTTTCTGCCACATGAGTGGTTTCGCTGGCTTTTCATTGATGCGCCTGGGACGTGGCAAACTTGCGTGACGGGGCCAGAAGGCGCGGCGTTCGATTTCTGGGAATCGATGAAAGATACTGCATTTGTATCAGCACACCCTGTTTTGAAACGAAAGGATTGGGCACGATCAGTTCCTGTCGGGCTGCATGGCGATGCTGGTGCGTTTTCTAAACAGGAGTCTGTGTATTTGTTTACATGGAATTCTTTGCTTGGCACTGGAAGTACGACTGCAAAGCGATTCGTCTTTACGTTTCTGAAGAAATCAGATGTAACTGCAGGCGCGCTTAACGAGATCATGAGAATCTTCGCTTGGAGTATGAACGCGCTTTTGACTGGCATTCATCCTAGTGTAAATTGGCACGGCTTCCCTGTGGCCACCACAAGTGACTACCTCGCAGGCGGCTGGAAAGGCGTTTTCACTCAAGTCCGTGGGGACTGGCAGTTCATGTGTGAACTCTTTAAGTTCCCTGCGTGGAATGGAGCAGAAGAAATGTGTTGGATGTGTAGAACTAACAGTACAATTCCGGAGCTCGTGTTCACGGACTGTCGGCCGTGTGCTGGTTGGCGTCGGACGATGCGCACGCACGAGTCGTACGTAGCAGAGGTGCGCGTTCTGCCTGTTCTTTTCAAGAACGCGATTGGTCTGCGGCTGGAATGCGTGATGATTGACGTCTTACACGCTGTCGATCAAGGCGTAGCTTCACACGTCATTGGAAATATATTTTGGGAGTTGATATTGGCCCGCACGTGGGGCAAGCCCAACGCTGAAGAAAACACAGCTATGCTATTTAACGAGATGCAAGCGCACTACAAGTCGACAAAAGAGAAATCGCGTCTTCAGGGCAACCTCAAGGTTGAACGGATTCGCACGGCAGGGGGCTGGCCGAAGCTTAAGGCCAAGGCCGCTGCAACGCGTCACCTCGCCAGGTTCGCGTTGAAACTCGCACTCGGTCACAATGACGGCACTGTCCACAATCGCCGTCGCTTGGGCGTCGCCCAGTGCCTCGTTGATTTCTATGACATCATTGAATCGGAGGGCATGTTTCTTTCTGACGGTGCGAAGAGGCGGCTGCCTGAGATTGGGCGGACATTGTGTTGTTTGTACGGCCAATTGTCAGCGGAAGCACCGGGCGGAGCTACTCCACTGAAGCTTTGGAAATTCCAACCAAAGCATCACCTCTTCTTGCACCTGTGCGAGTGGCAGGCCATTCACTATGGCAACCCCAGATGCTACTGGGTGTATGCTGACGAAGATATGGTCGGCCACAAGATCGAGGTAGCACATTCTTGTCACCCTCGGACGATGGCGTGCGTGGCCATGTACAAATGGTTGCTGTTTACATTTGGCGAAGGAAAACGAACAACATATTCATCATAATCAT